CATTGTTGTAGCCACTCCCACAGGGCATTTGCCACCATCCACGAGTCAGTATAGAGATAAAGTACTGGCTTTTTTTCTTGGTCAGCAATGTCCAAAGCCAGCTGGATGGCTTTCAACTCTGCAAACTGACTCGATTCACCTTCTCCTTCAGCAGTTTCTGCGACTTGTGGTGTAGGGCTCCATACAGCAGCTTTCCATCTTTGATGTTTTCCCACAGTACTACAGGATCCATCTGTAAACAGGGCATATTGCTTCTCATTTTCTGGTAATTTATTATACAGAGGAGCCTCTTCAGCATGAGTCACCTCCTCTGGTGACACTCCGATATCTCGGCCCTCTAGTGAGGCTGTGATCACTTCTGGAATTCCTGGGCAGTCGGGGTTTCCCATTTGAGCCCGTTGTGTGATGAGTGTGACTCCCTTACTCCACGTAGCATCAGTTGCATGATGCGTAGAGGGAACCCTCCCTTTGAACATCCAGCCGAACACAGGCTATCGAGGTGCCAAAAGGAGCCGTGCTTCAGTACCAACTGCATCTGAAATGGCTCGAATTCCTTCATGTGCTGCTAATATTTCTTTTTCAGTTGGAGTGTGATGGGCTTCAGATCCTCTGTATCCCTGACTCCAAAACCCTAGAGGTTGACCTCGAGTCTCCCCTGGTGCTTTCTGCCAGAGGCACCAGGTAGGGCCATTATCCCTGGCTGATGTGTAAAGCGTGTTTTTCACATCTTGTCCTGTCCAGACTGGCCCAAGTGCTACTGCACGAACTATCTCCAGTTTAATTTGTTCAAAGGCTTGCTGCTGCTCAGGGCCCCATTAAAGTCATTGTTCTTCTGGGTCACTCGATAGAGAGGGCTTACGATCAGACTATAACCTGAAATATGCATTCTCCAAAAACCCATGACGCCTAAGAAAGCTTGTGTTCCTTTGTTAGTTGGTGGAGACATGGCTGTTATTTTTTTGATCACATCCATTGGGATACGAAGATGCCCGTCCTGCCATTTTATTCCTAAAAACTGGATTTCCTGTGCAGGTCCTTTGACCTTACTTTGTTTTACAGCAAAACTAGCTTTCAAAAGAATCTGGATTATTCTTCTCCCCTTCTCAAAAACTTCTCCTGCTGTGTTGCCCCACGCAATGATGTCATCAATATATTGCAGGTGTTTGGGAGCTTCACCTTGTTCCAGTGCAGTCTATATCGATCCATGACAAATGGTAGGACTGTTTCCACCCCGGGGCAGTTGATTCCAAGTGTACTGGATACCCCTCCACATGAAAGCAAACTGTGGCCTGCACTCTGCTGCCAGAGGGATCGAGAAAAATGCGTTGGCAATATCAATTGTTGCATACCGCTTAGCAGCCTTTTGACTCCAGTTCATATTGGAGTTCTAGCATGTCTGGTGTGGCAGCACTCAGCGGCAGCATGACTTTGTTCAGGCCTTGATAGCCCACTGTTAGCTTCCACCCTCCGGTAGATTTTTGTAACAGCACAGCTTTTAAAAGTTGGTTGGCTTTGATTTCTAGTCCTCTGTGGCCATGACTTCTGAGAGGAGGTATACAATGTGTGTTGGTATGGTGGTTGACTTGCATGAAACCAAATGATTTGATTTATACAATTCTGCTGCTGCGCTGTGCTGTTTAGTTTTGTAAGTCATGGGAAGAAACAGGTGATATATTGGGAATGCAGGATGACTTGTACATGACCGGTTAAATACAGTAACTCAGCTTCAATGTAACAGCCTGCATTATCGGTTTGTATGCTCGCCTGTACTGTCTTTTAATCTTACCTCACTCACTCTCCACCCCTACTCCTATGTTGCCAGTTCCCCTCATCTATCACTTTGCTCCCTGTGCAGGTGGAATGTTTTGATGGACTACTGTTACACCACACCATCTGGTAATCCTAGCGATGATCTTCGATATGATCTTTTTTTCAGGTAGGTCCTGTGTAAACCCCGTGTTTTGTGGGTCCTTCCTTTAAAAACAGTTATAAATCTCTCCAATAGTGGTGTTCTAAACTGCCTGGAAAGTCTAAGCAATATTATCGGGGAGGACCGAGGGCTGGGCTTATAGATAACATATCAGGACTTATCTTGTTTGTGAACATAAACATAGAAGCAAGTGCAAAGTTGTAAGAATTATGAAGGTAGAGAAGCATATATCTAAAATGGCTCTACTAGAGATGCCATAAACACCCAAACCGAATGGCTAAACTGGCCTTTATTTTACCAAAGGTACCCTTGTGGTGAATGACAGCGATATAAAACATCATAGACTCCAGTTCAGGAAAGCAGTTAAGCAAATGATTAAAGATAAATAGATGCTCCTGCTTCTCCTCCCAGTAATAACATTTATTTGAATTGGAACATTGAAAAACATCTTGGCAGTATCTCAGATTAAATCTTATCAGTGACAGTTGCTGGGGAGATACTGTCTTCATTTGGAGTTACCTGTCTATACCGGTTAGCATACCTGATTACTTTTTGCTTCAGGTCTCAAGTTTCTTTGGGCACTGGAATTAAACGGTACCTTGGTTATAGCTGTGATATTGCAAAACAAAACATAATGTTTTTATAGGAATGCATTTCAGCCCAGGACTGTGCAGCCAAACAGGCAGATGTGGCTGCCCATGTTGGACATAAGGGCACTGTGTTCTTTTCCAAGGAGCTAAAGCACTGAACTTGTTGCTTAAGTTATCTTATTCTTAGCTAAGAGCTTCAAAATGCTAATCATACAGCTGCTCATCCTAGTTTTAATCTTCTCTACAAAAACTAGCTGTGACAAGGACCCGCAAACAACTATAATTGAAAATGGCAAGAGCCAAATGGGCCGGTTTTCATTTGAGGTGTTTCGCTTTGTGAAGCACAAGAACCAGAAGATGTCTACGGTCTTCCTTCACTGCGTGACAAAGCTGTGCAGAGCAGATGACTGTCCCTTTCTTGTGCCAGTAAGTTTCAGTGGACGGAAGTTGCTGTTAATTATCTGGATATAAAATAGGTACACTGGGGTTATTCTGCATACAAATGCTATGGAAGTTTGGATGGCACCTAAAGAAGGTGACTTGTAGAGTCTGAAGTAAGAACGGTTTTTGAGTCTGAAGGAATGTAAAACAACTAATGAAGAATAGGGCAATGAATATTGTCATCCGGAGACAGAATAATACTAGATCTGCAAAACACAGGTTGTTGAATACGTGAGAAATGACTTCTACACCTTTTGGTCCTTAATTAATTTTTAAAAGTAACAACTCTGAGGCAGCGTCAGAGCTGGTATTCTTAGTATAGCATTTAAGAAACAAGGTATCCGCAATCACAGTGGATGAACAGAAATATCTTAGAATAGAATTTATGGAAAACTTAAAGCTCTAGTAAGTGCCATTATACTGACAAAGAAAATTTGAAAGAGTTTCTGATAGTGAAAAAAAAAAAAATTACTATATTCCCTATAGTTTATTGCCACCTCCCTTACAGTTTGGAAACTGCTGTTTTGTTGAAGTTCATGAAGTTGTTTCAATTCAAAAATTATTTAATTTTAGGAGTGTCAGGAATGACAAATACATTTTGGAAATTGAAACATTTAAATAAACATATAAACACAGAATATTCAGTGTTGGTGTCTTCAGAATGCAGTATCATTTCCTATTGAATGACTTACCATTTAGAATTTTAAAATGCTATCAGTTCAGTATACTTCTGACATTTTGTACATTATTTTATACTTTTATGTTACACTTTTAAATAATTCATTGTTTCTATTGAATTTATGCTCTGAGGTTTTTGAAGTTCTTTCACAAGAAGTTGAAATTAAAGAAATGCTCTTGGTTGAAGCATACCCAAGATTAAGGTAGATGATAAGTTAGAGATGTTAAAGGTGGATTCCAAATGACAGAATGCTGGGGATTGTTTTAATGTAGGTCATTGCTATTTAGAACTCCGTGGAAAATGTGTGAACTTTAACTCGAGAAGCTTGCTAGAATAGGGATTGTAGCATGTTGTCTATCCCTAGTCAAGCAAAACACATTTGTTGGGGAAAACTGTCTGTAAACAAAGCTTTGGGAAATTAACTACTGAAAATTTAATGTAAGATGAGTTTTGTACACAACAGCAATGTGGTTCTGTAAATGAAGTGAGGCAAAATACAACAGGAAGCTGGGCATTTATAAGATAAACTTCTAGGGAATATTGCAGCTGTTTTTATTGCAAAGTAATTTAATGCATACTAAGAAATAAAATCAAAGTTGTAGCATCGCTTATAAAAGAGTTTACATTAAAGCAGGAAGCGCGGAAGGGCAATAATTCCATTCCACTCTGAAATTGTGATTGTTTTGATTAACCGCTCAGATTTGCAGTAACAGAGAAAGAAGAGACGCTGGTGGGAGGACAACTTGGAGCCCTCAGAGCACCTCTGGCAATGCTGTAATCTCTGCTGGCCCCATCATTACGAGAAGTGGTAGGAATGAGCAAACTTCTATGGACCGCAGGAATTTCATAAACTTGGGGAAACGTTTTGCAGTTTAATATAAATTTGCAGTGACTTAGAGAAAGGTTGGATTCTCCATGAGTTTACTGGGTATTTTTTCCCTACTGTTGGAGTCTTTGGTAGAAATTTTGAGCTAATATTTCTGTTCAGCTCTCACATGCTTCCTCCCTACTCCGGTAAAATCACTGTGGGACACTGTTATGCATATAAGGCCATTATAAAAGCTGAAACTCAGTGGGTTGACTTCTTTTTTTGTCAGATTTCACTGAAGATAATGGAATTTAAGGTACTGTGTTCAGTGTTGCAATTTAATTTGGACAGCTAATGAATATTCACTGTTACTTTCTATTCACTATTTCTTCCAGCTTCACCTGTGGGTTTTTATCTAAGTGTTGCATAAAATTAATACATGCTATGCTTAGCCTTCAGCTATAAGAAAGAAATAGGATAAACACATTGTAAATTCTAAACAGAGTGGGCCAAAATCTATTCCTTTAAATCCAGGGTGAAATTCCATGATTTCCATTTTTATTGCTGAAGTTTAAAAAACAAAACAAAACAACCCCCCCTAAAAAAGAAAACCCAACCAGCTCTAAATGCAACCTGCAGTCTCTGAAAAGAATTTATGTGACTGCTGTTGACAAAATAATAAAAATAAAATATTCGAAAAATGTTTAAGAAATTCTGTTTACAGATATTTATAAGTAGTTGCAGTTAAGCAACTGATTTCAGCAGTCTTAGATTTAGGAAGCTGAGAGCAGGACTGAATCCTATCTAGGAAAAATGAAACACTTGAGAATAAAATCCTTCTTTATGTGCAAAGCGGTTGTGCCCACATATACAAAGAGAACAACTGACCCTCCAGAATATGGAACCATCTAGCAAGAGACCATTTTTAGAACAAATACCCTCTGTTAGAAGCAACATTTCTGCAATGAAAATGAGTATTTCTGTTCTGCATTACACATAGTCCTAATTGAGTTGCTGCTATCTGATTAGACAAGAAAAAGTGAGAAGAACTAACTTCAAAGTTGCATGCATGAGTACTTATGGGAAATGAATGACACATTTGCTCAAACATGTATGCTAGAGAAATGCTGCCTTAGGCAAGGAATGGAAACTAGATAAAGCTTGTTATATAAGCAACCCCTATGAGGTAATCTAGCTTATGATTGAAATGCTGTGAATGCTATTTTTACAATTAAAAAAAAAAAAAAAGATACTCATTGATTACCTTTAAATACTCCGTAACTTCAAGCAAACAAAGATGTGTCCATGGGTGTTTAATGACCCCAAAGAAAGGATAAATGATTTTATAATTTCTTGACAACTGTTGAGTTTTTTTTTTTTTAAATGAAAACATGAATAAGGCTGGAAAAGGAAAATAGTAATGCTTTTAGGTGTCTTCTACTTGAGATATGTGGCTAAAGCTTTTTAGAGTAGACATATTTCTGCACCTTTATAGTAGGCTTTTGGAGCATCCCACTCCTGCTGACAGAAGGATGGTTTGATGGGAAGCGTTCTGAAAAAAATGGGATTCAGTTCTGAACTCTGCCATGAATTTCCTGAGTGGCATCGGGCAAGTCAATTAATCTGACTTGCACTCCATTTTTCCTTCTGGAGCAGAAAGAGGGAATCATTGTGAAAATAAGTGCATTAAAAATGTGAGGTTCATGAATACTATAGTCAAGGAAAGAAAAAGGGGAACGTCATGAGAGAACGTGAACAGAACTATCTGGTTTTGGATGAGGAGTGCCAGGGTGCAGTGCTGGCTTACTCTGGTGCGATGCTGCATGGAGGCGCTTATACTATTTTCAAGGCCAAGTCTGGTCCAGCTTTACTACAGGTAACGTTTGTACAGACCCTGTCAAACCTGCTGCGCCTGACTCACCATAGTAGGTACCCCAGTATTAGGTCTGCAGTTGCATGGATGTGCAACCCCTCACTTCCCTCATTTACGTTGGTGCTACATCTGTCCCAGGGACGGTCCTGTGCACATTGATGTCTGCAGAGGCACCTCGAGTTAGCCACGTCTCCCCATTACTCTAGTCACCAGTCGTTCTGGTATCAGAGCTGTTTATGCAGTTACCTTGATAAGAATTGAATAGTGCTACTGCAAATGAGTAATGGTCCTTCTCCTATGTATTTCTGAACTCTTATTTCTAACATTTTGTTCTTCTCAGAGAAACTTTATTCTTGTTTGATAATCTAAAATAAGTCATTACAGGAGACATACACAGAAGAAAATGTTTTAGTCTCTGTGTATAGAAACAAAGCAGGTACCTACTTGTGAAGGTGAAATTGTGTAGCTTTTGATGGATGTCTCACTTAAACTTAGAAGACAGCTGCTCAAAACAAATGTATACGTGAGCTGTGCTTACAAGTTGCACAAAAAAGCAAAAACAGTGACAAGAAATGTAGTTCTGAGATGGACAATAGTAAGTAAGTAAAAACTGAAGACAAAATACAAATGTTTCCCTGAATATAATGGCACTGTGTAACTGTCGAGAAAAATGAGCATGGGGAAAGGGCACTTTTGTAATCATTTATGGTCACTGATGTATTTTTCCTTGAAAAACTCAAGTTAATTTTTTTTCCCTATAGAGATCTTCTTGTAATATAATTAACAGTGAAGGGACTTGCATATAATACCGTGCTTATGGTTGTATTTTTATTGAGGGACAGAATAGAACGGGCCACATCTTCAATTAAGAGGTTCCTGCATTAAGGTGTGGGTTTTGTTGTTTCTTTTTTTTTTTTTTTTGCCACAGAATACTAAGTAACTTCATATTGGTGTGCTCGCATTAAAGATGAAGCAATGTCGTGTAATTACTGTTGTTGTCCTTATTCTAGCAGAGATGTTAAAAGCTACTAGTCAACATTGCAAGTATAGCTGATGTGTTTTGAAAATAAAGCTAGGACTATTGGCTTTTGTGTTGCAAGGAGGGGAGGTCGTAGGCAGAAGTATTTGTAAAATATAATGCATCCCATTTTTGTTTTATACAGATGAGATGCCAACCAACAATTCACAGCTTGGTAAGTTAATCAGAATTCCAAGAAACAAAAAAGAGAGTTTATGAGTGAAACAGAACTGAGGAGGTGAACCATTTTGATTGAGCTCTATGCACTGAGCTGGAATGGGGTTTTTTTTGGCTTTTTTTTGGCTTTTTTTTGTCTTTGGTGTGAGTCAATACTGACATGCTGTAAAGAAAGCAATTGGTGAATCTGGAGTACAAATCTTTAATTTGTGTACCCAGCCCCACCAACATAGCAACTTCTAATTCCTATGATGAAATTGAAATGAAAATCTGCTGCTATGACATATGAGGGTGAGGGAACATTGCGACTGCCAGATGCAAAATCAGACTTAAGCAGTAAAATTTGCTCATGCCACGCAGGAGTAGAGCAGCAAAATGGTTATTATGGTGCAGTCCAGCTCAGTTCACAGCTCAAAGTCAGAAGAGCTCTGCTTCGCTCCTGTTCTCCTGGCATTTAACCACACAAAGAGCCTATGGAGAAGCTTGGATAGAACTTGTGGTCTGCTAGGTCAGTGAAGGAAACAGGCTGCAGGGGAGATCAGGTCTCTAAGTTTTAGGGTGCTTCTCCTTTGGGTACTTGGAGGACTTGTTTCAGCCTGTCTGTTACTGTTCTCTGCTGGTAACAAGGAGTAGCTAATGACTAAGAAAGGGTGGTCAAGTTAATCAGGTGGTCCTTTGGGCCATTCTACCTCTTACTTGTTCATAACAGGACCGAGTAGCGCAAGCAACCTATCCTGTCCTCTGAACTCTAATACTATTTGTTCCCTTTTCTCAACTTAGACCACATAAAAGCAGCTACCTTCTTCCCTGGCATGGAAACAAAGTTCTCCCTGTAATGAATTGCTCCCTAGTGTGTTCCTACCCATGGGTATCATTAAAATAATAAAAATAAAAAGCAAATTCTCCATTTGCTGCATATGGCTTGGTGTGTTAATGGCTGCCACCTTTCCTTCCTATCCAACGAAAGCAGCAGCCCTCTCTTTCCATCCCAGAGCAACAGCATTCCTGTGCCTGTTGCTGTCCCAGTGGAGAGCACAGAGGTAGAGCAAGGTGGGATTACTGCTGTAGTGGAGAGAAGACAAGTAAGGTCAGAAGGCAGCACAGTGTTGAGAAGGGGAGGGGCAACCTGATCAACAGAGCTGACTTTTTTCAGCTTTGGTGAGGAGGGGAGGGATTGATCATGTTCAGGGCAGGTGGCTGCTTCTGGGAGGAGCAGTCTGGTTTCCCACATAGAAGCTGTGTTGTCATTTCACCTCACTTTCCAGCACTGGTAATGGCAAACACACATTGGTGCTTTGGGTAGCACCTACCACTCAAATGTTCTTTTTTTTTTTTTTCCCTCCTGCTGGTAAAGATGGTACAGGCTGGATGCGTGTGTTCCAGTATCCAGGAGTTGGTCCATGGACAGTCTGTTGAGCTACGCTAAATAGTAAAAACATATGTTACCTCCTCTCTCTGAGGATTGATAAACATGTTAAGAAACCTTCTGTGAAGGCGTACAGAGAAGCTTAGAGTAGCTCATATATCTGGTGCCAGATATGCCTGCTAAGGATTTATATACCCTTTGAATTGAGATGTGGATAATGATATCAGGGAGGAAATCCTTTCATTAACTTGATTAGGCCACAAATCCTTGATAGTTCTTGGACAGTGATAGTCTTGCCTTAAATAGCACAGGTCAAGGTTGGTCACTAGGATATAGGGGATTATGCCTTAGAAGTATCCCTACTGTCTTCATACTCCAGCATGATGAATATTGAAAGAACGAATAATTATTTTCAAAGTATACTTAGATAAGCTTTATCCAAGTAGACGAGTGCTCATTCTGAAGTACAGTTTTAGTCCTTTCATTGTAATTATTCTGTATACAGGGTGTTGTAACGGAAAGACAGAAGTGTTTGGCACCGCTGAGAGATTCTAACCATATCTTACCTGTGCATTTTTGTTCTCCTTGCAGCTCATCCAAACGGACCTCCTTTCCAGCTGAACTCAGTCACCAGCGCACTGATTTCAGGCATTGTCATCCTAGGAATCACAAGCATTTTCTTTTTTGTGTGTTCCCTAACTCTTCTGCACAGAAAATGGCCCAACAGTTCAGTCTTGAGTGGCATCCGAAACCCAGTTTTCAACTGAAAGTAATGATTTACTTGCACTTTTTCTTTGGGGTTGCCTTTTTTGTCTATGAAATATTATTCCATTAAAAAATAATATTAAGGCAACACTCCAGCTGTATACAGCTTCTATTCCAGCTATTCTGTATTTGTAGATTTGCTAGATGTTTTTGTGTAGGTAAGCAGCAGTGATATTGGTAACAATCCTAGAAAATTATGAGAATCTCAATTGTGTTTGTGATCAGAGGGTATGACATTATGCCCGTGGGTGTGCTGACAATAGAGGTCGTGTCTCCAGCTTCCCAGTAAGGTCTCAAAGCTGAAGGTGCTGAAGGTGAGAACCTTTCAAAGTATGCCATTCTTATACAAAACCTGACACATTCAGAAACATTCATAAGTTCATAAACACCTACAAAGATAAGGATCACTTCTATTTTGTCATAGTGTTTTTCACAGATTTGAAAAAACAATTGTGTCTCAGGAGGAACTTGTTTTCATCTATCTTGGCTAAAAACAGCCCCAGAGAGACTTAGAATAAGTAACTTTTGCTTATTATTCACATGGACATGTTTTCTTAGATATATCTTCCATCGAATTTTGGTGATAGCATGTGAAGGATATAATTTGGTTGGGTATCTTTGAGTCAAACGGATTTAGGGCAAACTGCCGTTGGTCCCAGGGAACAATGCTGCAATTCTTGAGGTAGAAAATTTTTTTTTCCAGAAAAATTATTGAGTGAGAATCTGAGAGCTTTAAATCTAACTTTAATCTAACTAAATTTTTAATCTAACTTTAAATCTAAGCAGGAACTTAATTCTGCACAGAATTGCCACATCTGCAGCCTTCAGTCAAATTCTAACCCTGGGAACTGCTACAAGGGGAAAAGTATTCCTTTCCCCCTGAATTCTTGAAAAGGCAAGCTAATACAAACACGTAATGCCCAAACTTTCCTCATACAAAATTATTTTTGGAGCACAATTTGGCAGTTGAGTAAAAGTCTCATTAATATCCTAATTTGTAAGGACCAATCTTGCCCCATGAGTTTTCAAGTTCTCAGATAAGGCTTTCCTTTCTACAAGAAGGAGTTGTAGATCAATGCTTATTTCTTTAGCAGATTTTCTGCATGGATTAGACTTCTTCACTGCATGGATGAGGGGAAGAGGGCAACTAGAAGGATAACAGGCCACAAGCAGTACCGTACTGTTGACTCTAGTTAATCTGATAAACATCAGACTTACCTGAAGTGAGTGTGAGTGACCAGGTGCCCTCAAACAGGAGCACAGGGCAGTGGTGCATAGCTGTGTAGAATAGACAAAAATGCTGGTACTAGAGAGGCCACCGTAGACACAACATATATTAAGCTGGACTGGATAGACAGTTGGGATTTTGGTCACACGTACAGCAGTTAAATTTCATTTTTCATGTCCTGTACATATCGGCCTAGAAACACCTCATTGATATTTATCATCATCCTGTGTTAACCATGTCTGTGTTTTCATTGATGTGACACAACTGGCTAATGATCAGGGTTTTTTGGCTCTCGAGACTGAAGACAAATACAGACCTGTTCTCAGTTTTCTCTGATCCTGCAAATGCTGTATAAAGGCCTGTTGTTCGCAAAGTCCACTGTGCTGTAGTGTGGTATCCCTAACAACCAATACTGTGCCTGTTTTCCTCCAGTCTTAATACCTCAGAAACATTTTTGCACTTCAGGGGTTAGGTCTGATGACATGTAAAACATGATTGTTTAATAAAATTATTTGAAACATTTCAGAACAGATGCTTTGTCTGAACTGTCTTCCTCCCCCAGTCAAATTGTTACAGTTTTGTACATGCTTTCAGAGACCTCATTCTACAAAGATGAAAACTGGACATGCTTTTTTAAGTCAGTTTGGTAAGAGCTTTCAATATATAGGATAAATTAATGTAAGTATAACTTTACTGGCCTTTAAAGGAGGGCGATAAACTCTGGAGATTTATATCCCTGTCTGGGGATAGATAAATTCAGATAATCCATTTTAATTTACTCATAAAGACAACCATAGAAATTCCATTAATGTAATTACTACTTCATAACCAGCAGCTTTAGCTGAAAGTTTCCAGTGATGGAGATAGCCATTACCATCCTTAGTAAGTTGTTCCAACAATTAATTGTTGTCTTTAGTACTTTTTAAAAGACTATTTCTAATGGGAATGTGCCCAGCTTAACTTGCCAGCCATTAGAAACTGTTGTGCCTTTGTCTGCTAGACTGAGCGAGACCCTTTTTCTAACACAAATCTCACATAATTTGGTTAAGACCACAGGAAAAAAAAAAGTGAATGGTGCTGAAAAAAAAAAAAGAAAAACAAAAGCTGCTAATATAATAATATCATACTTGTCCTATTTCAATTTCTCTGTATTTCTGGAAAGACAGTTTGTTGCTTTTATATAGAGAAAAGTAATTTACAGTAATTTACAGTAATTAACAAAGACTTGGTGACCAAACTTTTTGATGCTTGGGTAGCCTATTACAAAAATGGAGTTGTTACCCAATAATGTAATATGCCAAATATTTTTCTTATGTTAGTTAAAATTTCTGGAGTGGTTTGTTTTTGTGAAGAACCAGATAAGATTATGTTCTTTGTGTAACTTGTCCTCACGTGAAAATTAATAGGTACCAAAGGGTGATCCCACACTAGTTAAGTTACTGAACAGAGTTCCCACAGTCATCTGTAGGAGTCATTGCTGAGCTTGCTATGGATTGAATGTATTTGTCGCCATCATTCATTAAATGAGATAAATACCTGTTCCTCCTTGGTAAAGCAACATGGAGAGTCACAGGGGGAAGATGATGTCTAAAACCAGGCTTATTCATTTGCAGATCTGACATGGGAATGCTTTACGAATGGTTTTAGGGGAGGTGAAAACTTGTGCCAGGCTGCCCAAATATTTCTGGCAAGGAGAGGCCTGACTGTATTTGTAAAAACATCCCCATCCTGGTTTGTTTGAAAGAAATATACAGGTATAGAGGAACACGTGGACGCCAAAACTCGTGATCTCACAAGTTTCAAGAAACAGGTAGAAGTTGGGTGAATGTGCACGAAGGTTACACCCTGCTTTTTTGAAGTGCAGGATGTTAGGTGAGAGGGAAGGGGGAATGGATTGAAAACATGAATTACATACAGTAGGCAGGGACTTCTGGCACTTGAGATACCAAGTTTTAAATGGAGCAGTGAATTAAGAAGACACTTTGTACTTTGGATGAAGGAACTCTAGCCAGATACGTAATGGGGGTCTCACAGGTGTTAAGTGAAACTGAATTACTAAAAGAATAGTGGCTCTGCTAATAAAATCACTTCTATTGGCGGTGCCCATTACATGTGTTTAAATGTTCTTTTTGCGCAGAGGTCAGGTTTCCGCAGGTAAGTACAGCGTACTGAAAAGTTCTCAGGTCTGTGACCCCAACTGGGGGGCAGACAGAAAAGGAACTGAGTGAGACTTTAAGCTTAGGTCTAAATCCAGTAGAATTTAATAAATCTATAAAGAGGTGAAAACACTTCCTGGGTTTCTGTCTTTGGAAGAAATAAATTTCATATTCAACTGGAGCTATGCATACCAGTGCTTGGCATAAATTCAGCTGATATTTGAGAAACAGGCCTTGGCAAGGGAACCTGGAAGTAAATCACATTTCCCACTTCATTCGGCAGGCAATATTTCTTACTCTTGATATCTCTTAGGCTCTACAAATATGCCAGAAGAAGCGGCCTTGCCCTGTGAAGCTACTCAGCTCTTCATCTGTAGGAGACACAGGCAGGAACATTGTGATAAACTAGGAAATGTTCCAAGTGCGGCAAATTTGTCCTTCCTTAGGTTACTCCCAGGTTTTATTTCAGTGCCACTTGGACCTTTCCCATGCCTTTCAGGAAGAAGAGGTAGGATGGAGTTGGAAGAAACAGCAGAAAGTAGCTCTGCAGAGTCATTAGTGGCTGGACTGGCCGTTTGATACACTGGCAGTTTTAGGGTTGTACCATGGCTCTTTGCCATGATGTCTGTTTTGAAAAGTTTTTATAACTTTTCTGTTATTCACTAGTTAATTAACTCTTTCCTAGTCTTTAAAAGAATGTTTGTACAATTAGGAAGCACATCCTTGAGATAGTGAAATTGAAAATGTAAGGCAGAAAAGTTGTTCACGTGACTAACCTTGTGAAGAAGGTAAACTAATTACTGTTGGCAAACTAAGGAGGGTTGCTGGCCAGACAGATTTCAAATGCTGGTATTACATTTATAACCTCTGCTTTTGGACTTCATGGTGTAGCGTGAAAAGTCCTTTGTGCTAAAGCAGGACCCACACCAGTGTTTGCAACCAAGAAATACTGTTTAGCAATAGCTCAAACGTTTTGCAAGTTCACTTGCAATCACCTGCTAAAAGGGGAAGTCTTCAGTGCTTTGGACCGATATGGTGGCGGTTATTATAGACATAGAGCATCCTAGCCTGAGCAGGCATTACATTCTCTGTTTACATGCTGAACTGGCTTGCTTATGTTTAGACTCTGGGTCTCTGAGGTGCGTTCATCAAACTTGCTTGTTTTGCATAAACAAACAGAAGAAAAGGCTTTC